CTGCTACTACGACGACTACTACTACTGCTATTACTACTACTACTACTACTACTACTTCTACGACTACGCGTACTACTACTACTACTACTACTACTACTACTACTACTACTACTACTACTACTACTACTACTACTACTACTACTACTACTACTACTACTACCCCCACTACAACTACGGCTACGGCTACGACTACTACTACGACTGCTACTACTAGGACGACCACTACTACAACTACGACTACTACTACTACTACGACGACGACAACGACGACGACTACTACTACCACTTCTACTACGGCTACGACTACGACTACGCCTACTACTACTACTGCTACTACGACTACTAATACTACGACTACTACTACTACTACTACTACTACCACTACTACTACTACTACTACTACTACTACTACTACTACTACTACTACTACTACTACTACTACTTCTACTACTACTACTACTACTACTACTTCTACTACAACTACTACTACTACTACTACTACTACTACTACTACTACTACTACTACTACTACTACTACTACTACTACTACTACTACTACTACTACTACTACTACTACTACTACTACTACTACTACTACTACTACTACTACTACTACTAACTACTACTAACTACCACTAACTACTACTACTACTACTACTACTACTACTACTACTACTACTACTACTACTACTACTACTACTACTACTACTACTACTACTGCTACTAAAACTACTACTACTACTACTAACTACTACGACCGATACGACACCCTACAAGCTACTACTGCATACTACTACTCCTAACGACTACTCCTACTACGACTACTACTACTACTACTACTACTGCTACTACTACTACTACGACGACGACTACTACTACGACTACTACTACGACTACTACTACTACGACTACTGCGAATACTGTTACTACTACTACTACTACTACTACTGCTACTGCTGCTGCTGCTGCTGCTGCTGCTGCTACTACTACTACTACGACTACGACTACTACTACGACGACGACGACGACTACTACTACTACTGCTACTACTACTACGACTACTACTACTACGACTACTACTACTACTACTACTACTACTACTGCTACTACTACTACGACGACTACTACTACGACTACTACTACTACTACTACTACTACTACGACTACTACTACTACTGCTACTACTACTACTACTACTGCTACGACTGCTGCACAGACAACAACAACAGCAGCAGCTACTGCAACATAACCAACACCAATCAAACCAACAAATACAACAGAGGCAGCAGCAACAACAGCAGCATCGTCATCACCATCATCATGGACATCCTCAACGTCTTCGTCATTGTCATCATCATGAGCATCATCATCGGCATCATCATTTGCAGCAGCATCATCATCACCCTTACCAAAGCGAATTATGCTGGACCACATCCTTCCCGCCCCCTCGAAGAAGAGAAATACGACAGCGGCGATTAATTCAACTCGCAAGGCCTTCAGCTCATCGATGTCGCGCATGAGGCCCTGCATGTCGCTGTTCGCCTTGGCGAGGCCGTCCTGCTTGAGTTTGGCGTCTGGCCTCGGCGAGCGGTGTGATCATCTGCCATCTCCGCTCTTCACTCCCCCCTTGGAGGCGGCAGGGGGGTCTGAACTGGCTGGTGCCCCAGAAGATCGGTCAGGAGGGGGGGATGAAGCCAAATCCACTCAAAATCGATCCCTGGACTCCTCCTGGAATCCGTCTGGTGCAGTTTGTCACCCAAGATACGTTTTCTACGGTCCCAGGGCCCGAACACTGTCCCCAGAGGCCGAAAGGACAAACAAAAAAACCTGCCCGAACCCTGATCATCGAGCCTGCCCGCCCTCCTTGCCGGCCTGCTGGCTGGAACCCATGCTGGGCCACCCCTAACCTCCAGACGGCTCCGGCCTTCTGCCGCCTCCAGAAGCCCCAGACATCTCCAACCTTCGGCCTCCCTGTCTGAAGGGGCCCTGGGACACACAAACAAATACACACACAAGTAAACAGATTCCCCATATGTTCCCATATCTGCTGGGCGTCTGTCTCCCCCCCCCCGCTTCCCATATTTTCCCATATCTTCTGGGGAATCGACGATTGAATTGTGTCTGTGTGCTTTCTCCCCTCCTGACTGTCGCGCTCCGCGTGCCAGCGGCGGCCTCGCCAGCGGCGCCGCCAGGGGGCCCCACCGCCGATGCGAGGAATCCTTGCGGACCTGCGAACGTCACGATTATGTATAGGGCTGTTTTGAACACATGGGATGTTTGAAGAATGTAGGATTTTGAATGCATGCATAATCTATGAATAAATTGATGCATGAATTCATCGTTATTTTTAATGATGCTAAATACCTTCATGTTTAATACATGATCCGCACGCGGAGCATGTATTAAAAACGGCACTGTAATGCTTGCTCCCCTATGTAATGCGCAGCGGGGCGCAATCGCCGGCCACCTTCGGCCGCCTCTGGACTTTTCTTCATCCTCGGGCGCCACGTGATCCAAGACAGCCAGGCACCGGTCAGAGAGCGGTCGGGTGCACTGCAGGCGAATTGAAGAAACGGAAGCGAATGGAGAAAGAGCGCGAAAAGAGACAGAAGCTGGGTAGGTAAACCAAAAGGTACCGATCCCGCTGCTCCCTGGACCTCTCCCTGGGCGCGTTCTGACCAGGATCTCGAGGCGAATCCAGCGGTGGCAACGAGGGTCTCCAAGGAGGCCCAACCAAGGGGCAAACGGGCGAAGGGGTAGCGTTCGGTGGCAACTCATGGGAGCCTCCCATACCATCTTGTCGACTCTTGCGAATCGACGCGAATCGACGCTGAATCGGCGCTAATCGACGCTAAAAGGCGCTAAATCGGCGCGATCTCATCGACTCTAGGCGCGAATCGACGCTAGTCGACGCTACAGACGGAATTTAGAAGGTTCGGGGATGGACAGAACCCCCTTTAGTAAAACGTGGTTTAGAGAAACGACCTCGGGCCCAACCCCGACGGGCGCAAGCCTGAAAAATGACGGCCGCGGCGCCCTCTCGAGAATCGAAAACGGACAGTTCACTAATCGACGTGTCAGGGTGGGGGTTCTGTCCACCCCCGAAGGGTATACCAGGCTCCCATGATTTGAAACCGAAGCAGCGGTGCATGGGTACCTCGCCCCCCTCTGAGACGGAGCCCGCTCCGCACCGCCTCTGGCCTCCCCGCGCCCGAAGACCTCGAGCCTCGAACCTGGAACCTCGAAGTTCGAACCTCGAACCTCGAACCTCGAAGTTCGAACCTCGGAGCTCGAACCTCGGAGCTTAATGCCGATGTTTGCTCCTGGATGCAGCGCCGCCATCGGCTACCCCGAGCCCTAAGGATTGAGCAGAGACCGACCGTCCCGGCATTTCTATAGTCCTACCACGAAATGTTCTTAGAACCCCACAATGTTCTAAGAACAAAACCAATGATCTTAGAACATAACCCCGATGTGACACATCAAGACAGTCCCAACCAGAAATGTTCTGAGAGCATCTCGTGGGAACCACAAAAGGCTCTTAAAACATTGCTTGGTAGGACTATAGGCACGCCAGGACGCTTCGCCACTGCTTATCAGGAGGCCCGCGCCTCCTCCCGGCTGCCCACTGAGCACCCGCCGAGGCCGCCGCCGCCGCACGCTGGGGGCCCACCGCCGCTCGAAGCCCCCGCCAGGGGCGGGGGCGCGCCGGAAGCGAGGCCGCGCTTCGAAGGAGGGCGCGACGGCGGGTTGGCTGCAGGAGGAGGGGGGAAGGCTCCTCCTCCTCCTCCTCCTCCTCCTGCTCCTCCTGCTCCTCCAGTCCTTCTCCTCCTCCTCCTCCTCCTCTTGCTTGCACTGGTCCTCCTCCTCCTCCTCCTCATCCTCCTCCTCCTCCTCGTCCTCCTTCTGCTCCTCCTTCCCCTACTCCTCCTCCTCCTCCTCATCCTCCTCCAGTCCTTCTCCTTATGAATGATTGTTCCCTGTCGCACCCCGAGGCCCGTCTTCAGAGCGGGCCGGGCGTTTCGCCCGAGAAATCCTCATAGTTTACGATTCTGAGGCTCCAAAACTGAGATGGAGGGCGGGTGGTCTTCAAAATGTGGCTCTCGCCTCAACGCCGCGCACATTCGTTTTCAAAATGTGCAAGAACTTCACGGGTTGAGGGCGGGCCATTTTCAAAATGTGGCTTTCGCCTTAACGTAGCGCCGCGCATATTGTTTTCAAACTGTGCAAAAGTTCCACGGATTGAGGGCGGGTGTTTTTCAAAATGTGGATATCGCCTTAGCGCCACGCACATTCTTGTTCAAAAGTTTCACGGATTGAGAGCGGTCGTTTTCAACATGTGGCTCTCTCCTTAGCGCCGCGCACACTCGTCGTAAAAAATTGCAAGGGTTCCACGGATTCCCACGATCAACGTACCAGAAACGGTGCTTTTATTTTGCGGGTGCAGCAGTTACGTTGATTCGCGGTGTTGAAATCACAAGAACGGCATGATCCAGGTTCATTAAGGCGCAGCAGTCAGGTTCATCCGTGGCGTTGGAATCCCGAGAACCATGTTTTGGCATGCTTATGGGTCTTCAAGCGGTTGTCTTCCAACGAAGCAGATCCCTCAGTGGAAATGAACCGTTGTAGGGGCCTATGAAGAGGGAGCTTGAAGGAAGGGTGTATTCCAACATCGTTGATGGCTCTTGGGTTTACACTGGTCCTCCTCCTCCTCCACCTCCTCCTGTTCCTCCTTCCCCTCCTCCTCCTCCTCCTCCCTCATCCTCCTCCTCCCCCTCCTCCTCCTCCTCCTCCTCCTCCTCCTCCTCCTCCTCCTCCCCCTCCTCCTCCTCCTCCCCCCTCCTGTCTCGGAAACCGCCCGCTGCGACAAAAATCGCAACGCTCAGATCTCAGGGGCACGGGCGCCTGCCCGCGGCCCCCGTGCGTGCCGCGGGCCTCTTCGGCGGCGCCACAGTGGGGGAGGGGGAGGGGGGAAGGCTTCTTAGACGGAGGCTGCTGCTTAGAAGGAGCGGGCCTTACATCTACTAGGAAGGCCCGCGCTTTCTAAGCAGCAGGGGCGCTTCTAAGAAGCCTTGCCCACTCCCCCGGAAGCGCGGCCCCCCGGTTGCGCTGTCGGCGGCGAGCGAAAGGGGGAAGCGAGAAGGAGCACTAGCCGCCAGTCAAAAGAAGCATGTGGAAGCATGAAGCAGGAAGGCGGATATAATTTAGACTGGACTCGGGCCTGCCCCGAGAATCACAAAAAAACAACAACATAAGCATATCGATTCAAGTAGATTGGGATCCGGGACCGCAGAAATACCTACTTTCAAAACCAACATGAAAAGGGGCCCAAGGCCACACAATTGTATAAGCACAAATCCCAGGAGTCCCGCTATGTTCCATATTTATCGGATGGTCGTTGTTCCCCTCTACTTCCCATACGTCCCATATTTCGATTATGTGCGTCTGTGCGTTTCTGCGCCGACCGATGCTGAATCGACGCAAATCGACGCTAATCGGCGATGGTCGACGCTACATCGGCGCTATCTCACCGATTGCTGTCGACGCTAATGCGTTCCTCTAGACGGAATCGCCACGGGCGCTCCAGACGGAGCCGCGCCGTCTGAGGACCACGAAGTCCGGCGGCGCGCCAGGGAGGAAGCGAGAAGGAAGAGACTTGCTCAGAAGGCGGCGGAGCTTCTCAAAAACCCTCGGGCCTTTTGAGAAGTTCTTCGTGTCTCCGGGGAAGGCTCGGGGAACTCCTCACAAGGCCCAAGGCCTCCCGAGCCTTCCGAGCAGGCCAGCCCTTTCTCGCTTCCCACCCAGGCTCGCTGCCTAGCAAGACGAGGCCAGAACAGGGAAAACACCCCAGACATGTTCGCGTCGTGGCAAAATCACCCGACTACAAGCAAGAGTGACCCTGGGTAAGAGTGACCTTTGGTGCGCGACTTATGGGGGCCGCGGGAAGACCAAACACAAGCGCGCAAGACGACACTGCCGCCTCAGGTTCGGCGATCGGGGGACCCCAGTGTTGAGCAGGGACCGACCGTCCAGCCATTCCTATCGGCCTACCACGAACTGCTCTTAGAAACAGGAACATGTTCCAATGACAGAAACACTCTTATACAATTAAGTCGATGAATTAAAACAAGATGGTCTCAACCAGAAATGTTCTAAGCACAGTTCGCGAAAACCGCAAAACAATACAATAATCTTGTTGCGTGGGCCTATAGGCGAGCCTGGACGCGTTTCGCCACTGTTTGACAGTGGGCCCGCACAACAGGTCACTCCGGCAGATCTCTCTGGCAAAGGGTGATGACTTGAGCCAGACTGGCTCGAGCCACGATGGCCATCTCCGGGGATACCAAGAAAGAAAGGTGCCGATACCGCCACTCCGCAGACCTCTCCCAGAGTGCGTTCTGGCTAGGATTTCGAAGCGAATCCAGCGGAGGCGACAAAGGCCTCCCAAGAGGCCCAAATCTGAAGGGGCCCTGGGACACACAACTAAATACACATAAATAAGAAGATCCCACACATTGTCCCATATGTTCTGGGTTCCTGTCTTCGCCCCCCACTTCCCATAGTTTCCCATGTTTCCTGGGGGTCGACGATTCATTGTGTCTGTGTGTGTTTCTTCCCCTCCTGAAAATCGGCGAAATTGAAGGAAAGGTCGTCGAAGCAGGGCCGCCATCGCCGCCCGCGCCGCGGCGCCCGCGCCTGGCCGCCTCCTCCGCCGCCCCGAGGCGCGCGGCGGCCTCCGCGTGGGCGGCCTCGGCCGCCCGCAGCTCCGCGCGGCGCCCGCCCAGGGCCTCGCGACCCCGCGGCCCGCGGCGGGGGGGGGCCCTCGGCAGGCCCGCGGCAGGCCCGCGGCGGCGGCCCGCGCTCCTCCTCCTCCTCCTCCTCCTCCTCCTCCTTCCGCCTCCTCCTCGTCCTCCTCCCTCCTCCTCCTCCTCCTCCTCCTCCTCTCCTCGCCCTCCTCCTCCTCCTCCTCCTCCTCCTCTTCCTCCTCCTCCTCCTCCTCCTCCTCCTGCCGACTTCTCTTTTGGCAACGATATGTGCGGTCATTCCCAAACCTGCAGGGGGATCGCGTGTCTTGGGAATACTGTCTCAGTGCTGCAAAACGTGGAGCCAGGCCAGGAGCTCGATCACGTCTCAATGGTCAGATGGGCTCTCTGCTTTCTGGGACACTGCCATACGTGGCAGCAGTGCGCTGCGCGCTGCGATGATTCGCAGCCTGATGGACGAGGCGTCAGCAACTTTTAGAGTTTCTTCTGCCACGGTGTTGCTAGACATCGCCAAGTTCTACGACTCGATCTCGTTCACACTGTTGATTGTGGCAGCCCGTGGCCTCAACTGTCCGCCAACTGTTGTGTTGATGGAGGTGCTGCTGTTCATGTCGCCGCGCATCCTCAAGGAGGGCTCGGTCATCAGCGATCCGTTCTGCCCAGGAAGGTCGATCGTCGCAGGCTCGTCGCACGGTGTGTGTATTGGAAAAGTATTATTACACTCTGTGCTGGATGCAGCACACAGGCGAGCCCCCCAGGCCTCCTTGTGGACCTTCGTCGACGACACTGTGGGGCGTTCAGAAGGCATTCCTGAGACTGTCGTTTCTGAGATGCAAGGCCTAGCGGATGCGTTCTCGGAAGGTTTCAGAGCTAAACGATTGACGGTCTCGGACAAAACGGTTGTCTTGGCGTCGTCTCCTGAGCTAGGCAAGCGCGTTGTTAGGATTTTCAGAGCCCGAGGGATGCCTGCCAAGTATGCTCCCACTGGTGTCGATTTAGGTGTTGGCACCGCGGCTGGTCGATTCAGAACTCGTAAGAAAGCTAGGCAAAGGATGACCAAGGCCAGCGGTAGGTTTTCTCGGATTTTAAAGATGAGGCGACTTGCAGGCTTGCGGAAAGTCACTCAAGGCGCTTGGCGCACGGGTGCCTTGCCTCAGGCCAGCTACGGTCACCAAGTGATGGGTATGCCACCGAGTCAGGTCCTCCTTTTAAGGCGACAAGCTGTTCGCACGGTCTCTGGCAACAGCAAAGGTAAGTGTTTAACCGCGGTGCTGCAGGCCGTGCTGGGAGATGGCGACCCAGCCTTAGAGGTCAGGCGCCAGCTCGTTGACTCGTGGCTCCAGCTCTGGGAACGATTTCCAGCTCTCCAGCCTCGCATCCGCCGTTCCTGGGGGTTGGTCAGGGCGCAGCTCGACAAACTAGGCCCTCGGCGCTGGCGGGGGATTCGTGGTCCCATAGCCGCTGTCCAGGCCACGCTGCTTGACGCTGGCTGGGAGCCCCGCGAGCCAGACCTCTGGGAACGGCCGTCTCACTCGAATCATGCTTGGAGATTTCCGAGGCCAGGCGATCCCCACTTTGAATTGTTGGCGCTCACAGACCACACAGACTTGTTATATGATTGTGTTTCTGATTTAAGAGCAGGCCTCTGGCAGGGCGCTGCGGAACACGAAGGAGGCACTTCGCTCAGTGAGGGAGCCGACCTCCTCCCGCTTTCTCAGGAACTCCGTCGGTTCGAGTCTCGGGGCCAAGCCGATCTTTGGGGCCTCACTTTGTGCGTGGCCTCTGGAGGCCAGTGGCCACGGCAGCGCCAAGCTGACAGTGGTTACACGGTGGATGTAACTTGTCCAAGGTGCAAGAAGGCTCCTGAGACATTGTTTCACCGAATATGGCAGCGCGAATGCAACGTGGATCACCCAGACTTTGAAAGCACTCAGGCCTTGTGCACTCAGACGGCTGCACAGTGGGAAGCCGATCCTTCGTTGTGGCTGAGAGGCGTGCCAGCGAGAGATCTCACCTGCCCCACTTCCTTGACCCCCTTGAGCCTCCTCCGAACACGTACCATGGCACCTCTCGGTTGTCTGAGGCCTGCGTCCAGCCTGGCCAGGACCCACCCTATTTCTTTGGGGATGGATCTGGGGGTAAGTACAGTAACGACCCCCGCAGGCGTCGCTGTGGTCAGGAGTTGCTCTGATCAGTCAGGCTTCTGATGGCTCTTGGGAGCCTGTTTGCGGGGTCTCTGCCCCCCTCCTTGGGCCGCGGCAGACTGTGCCGCGCGCGGAGATAGCTGCGCTCGCCATTGCCCTGGAGGAAACCACGGGGCCCATCATATATGTAACTGATTGCCAACCAGTTCTCGATGGATGGCGCGCTGGTCGAGCCCACGGCAAGCTAGGCCCAAATCAGGATTTGTGGTACAGGGTGGCGGTGGCGCTTCGTAGCAGGGGTGAGGCTGAAGTGCAGATCGTGTGGACGGCCGCCCATCTTGAGGATACGGGCAGAGAGCTCACTGATTGGCAAACTTTCCTCACCTCGGGTAACATGTGCGCTGACGATTTTGCAGGTAAAGCCGCTGAGCAAGGCCTGCAGTTGTACACTCAGCAGCCTGTGCCCAAGACTGATATGTATGATTGTATTGCCCATTTTGTGAGACGCCGAGCCAGGCGCGCGTTGGTTTCTGCCCTGCAGGTCGATCCCTGGCAGGCGACCAGGTTGGGCAAGCAGCGTGTGCCTCCTCCCTCCCAGCACACTCGAGCTCTCACTGACACCTCGCACGACTGCGAGCAGTATGGGTCGAAGTGGAGGTGCAAGCGATGCTGTCAGGTCGTCCCGTCCTCACAGCTGCTCAGATTTTGTGCCCAGCCCTGCCCTGGTCTTTCCCCAGCCGAAGTTTCGGTCGCCTCGCAGTGGTCGAAGTTCGTTCGTCGGCGAGGGGATGTCTGGATTGGCACAACTCTTGCACACAGCACTCATCTTATACATTTCTGGCCTGAATTTTCCCTGCATTTCTGTTCACAGTGCGGCATGACTGCCACGATTGATGGCAGGTGGCTCGCCCGTAAATGCACGGCCCCCACCCCCAAAGGAGCTCAAAACCTTACGCGTTTAAGTAAGGGTTTGTTTCCCTCGCACAAAGGGCCCCCGCTTGTCATCCAGCAGATCCGTGCTGGGAGAGCGGCCGAGGCGGCCAACAGTGCGAGGAGAGCTCGGGGGGAGGAAGAGGCCAGTCAAGAAGAGGGCGGCGGGGGTGGAGCGTCGTCGTCGGTCGGGAAAGGGAGCGAAGCGAGTGTGCTGCGCGCCGCGCGTGCTCTCTCGCACGCGCCGCCCCCGCCCACGGCGCTGGCGGCGCTGGCGGCGCTGGCGGCGCCGCCCAGGCGTGCCCCGACCTTCCTTCCTCACCGCGGGGACTCTTCTTCGGGCTAGTCCCCGCCCAACTCGTTTTGTCTTGCCTGGACGTTGTCCCTTCATGGTTACTTCTGGTTACTCCTCCTCCTCCTCCTCCTCCTCCTCCATCCCCCCCCCCTCCTCCCTCGGCAGGCCCGCGGCGGCGGCCCGCGGCGGCGGCCCTGGGCAGCACGGGGCGGCCATCGGAGGCCCTCCTCGGCAGCCCCTCGGCGGAAGGCCCTCGGCGCTCATTTGCGGCCTCGCGATGCCAGGAGCCCCTCGCAGGTTGCGCCAGGGTCGCGCTCGCGGGGCCAGGACCCTTTTAGAGGAAAAAAACTATGCACATACACCGATTCTGGCCGGGCCCAGCCCTGAGCCCAGGACCGGTGCGTACACCCTCTTACCTTGGCCAGGAAGGTATATGCACCGATCCCGGGTTAAGGATGGGCGTTGTCAGGACCGGTGCATGTGCATAGTTTTCTTCGCCCGACCCTGTGCACATTTATGCAGGATTTGCGCTGACTGGGGCATCAACCCCTTGTGAATGACGCTCGGTTCGTGCTCCCGAGGCCAGATTCCCCCGATAAGTACGCAAGTACGCCAGGTTCGAGTTCCCGAGGCCAGAATCCTTGCAAATTGCGTTGGGTTCGCGCCTCCGAAATCACAACCATCCTAAGTTAACTACGCCGGAGTCGCGCCCCCGAGGCGACAACCCCTTGTCAATTACGACCGACTCGCGCTACCGAGGCCACGATCCCTTGCAAATGAAGAACGTCACGATTACCAGCCGTCCTCGCGTGAGGTTCAGATAGTGTTTCAAGTCGGCGCCCAGGCATCCCTGAAGGGGCCCCAGGACACACAAATACATGCATTACATACACACATAGAAAGATCCCCCCGTATTTTCCCATATGTTTTGGGTTTTTGTCATCCCCCCACTTCCCATATGTTCCCATATTTTCTGGGGAATCGACGATTGATTGTGTCTGTGTTTTTTCCCCTCCCGAATCCCGACATAGCTCTGGCATGTCCCATGATGATAGAGGAGGGGGCCGGCGGCACTGGGCGAAGCCCTTGCGGGTAGCAACATGCGGGGTGGTCTGATGTGATTCGAGCTGTTTTTGAGGGTTCCAGGGGGGTATGGGCCAAAGCCGTCCTTTCATGGCTGCCCGGGGAGGGGGATATTAAACTGCTCGTCCTGGAGGGCTGTGATCTTCTGCCCTCTCCTACAGCATCTTGAGTCGCCAGCTGACCTTTGGTCCTCTCTCGCGGGGTCAACGGGATTCGTCTCGATCGGGCCCGTGGCGCCGAATACGTCGCGCAGCATGGCCCTACCCACGTCGGCGCGCAGGTCGCCAACGTGGAGGGGGGCGAGGGAGGCGACGATGGCGCCGCAAGTGTCCGCCGCGAGTGGTAGCATAGGACGCAAAGGGACATACGATAGGCTCGGACACATGTCTCCGAACCCAACATCAAGGCCCCAACGACAATCCCCGTCTGTCTCAGCGGACACCTGTTCCAAACGCCCCCATACATACATGTTTCAGCAGGCTTGCGCCTGCACGGGGGAGGGGTCCTAGGGCCATCCACCCATTCAATTAGATTCTCAGCAAGGAACACGGATGGATCCTGTTTTCGGTGAT